TCGGTATCAGTGAGGCCACAACATCTTAGTCTTCATATCTACAATTAATTATTGTTACACAGGTTTAGTGTGCCTACTTATTATGTAGAGATAAGCCGGTGAGCTATTATTACTCGTTAGCTTGACTCGGTTGCAAGAATAAATTTATTCCGTGTCATAGTGCCTGATGCAAAGGATCGTAGGTTGATCTCATCAGAAAATGAAGGTTGATTGCTTTCGTACTGCAATCGTTCAATGTTACTACAATCTTCATTGTGTAGTAGTCTACAAAACATCCTCCTTTGATTCGGGCAAAAATGAACTGAGCCTTCGTGATATGACTTTTTATTTCGAAGGAAAAGTTGATTGGAAGGAATTCGCCATACGGTCTCACCGGAAACCGAAGGAGGATTGCCACGTAGAGAAGACGTTTGTATTGCGCGAATAAGTCCTCGGCTCACCATCCTACGACCCCGATGAACCTGTGCTGATCTTTTATCTGTACCACTGCGACATGCGTCATCAGAGCAAGAATCCATACTTTACGAAATAGAGCAAAAGTATATTGAACCAAGAGAAAAGGTGGCTTGCTGAAACCTTAATCGCTTTTTATACACCTAACCTTGCGATTTTTACGAGACATCCCATGATTCGGTTGGCTACATCAAATTTACTATACATGACTGTATATCAGTTAAGTTACTTTTCTCCTGGTTTGATATATTCTTGCTCTTTTTTGTAAAGTATGGATTCTTGGTCTTTTCGTGTCTGTCACACTACAGACGAAAGCTTAGCACAGGTTTATCGGGGTTCCGATTCGGTGAGCTGACGATTTCTTTGCACAATATAACGGTCTTCCATATGTGGCAATCCTCTTCAGTTTCATACGAGACCACATCACAAATTCCTTTAATCCAACTTTGACTTTGAAATGGAAAGTCATATCATAATATATCACTAAGGAATTCTTCGAAACCCAGTTTTTCTTCATATCTTCGAGCTTATCTTTCGTCCGTTAGATAACAAACATCACCAGAGCTGGAACTCATTCTTTCATAAGCTTCAAGTTAGCACTAAGTATTCTCTTCGTCAAAATGCTACATTGTTCCAATTATGTCAGTCATATTACAGACCAAAGGTTAACATGTTTTCTCTGGAATCGGGAGAGCCTCAACTAGAATGTTTGGTAAAGTCAAACGACAAGCGTCCAAAAGGCTTCTTATTTTCTGTTCTGTTAAGTTCGGTCTTCGTATTTCTTCATCATTTGCTTTCACTCGAACGAGATGTGATATTAACAATTTTAAAAAGGTTAACAAGCTGGATTGATCGGGAGTCTATAGCATCAGATGCAAGAACGATGAGCAGAAGTATATTGGTGAAACAGGAAGAAAAATCAGCATACGAATTAAGGAACATCAAAGACTGCAGAAAGATCCAAAATAGCGGAACACATTGTATGAACGGGGCAATAAATCAAGTGAAAATTGACAGAAAGGCTAGCTACATATGGTGGAAATACAAGAAAATGTAAGGTACGAGAAGTCATTGCTATCCTGACTGAAAGAAACCTGATTCTTGAAGAGGACAGGATCTGCGAAAACTTTGTATACTGCCTAAACAAACTCAGAGAAGATCAGAGAACAGGAATATCAGCAAAAAGAAGACTGGATTAAGAAAAAGCAATTACAAGGAGACCAGAGAGGATAATCAGAAACAAAGAGAAGATGCCTGCAGTGAGCCTATTTAAATCAAGTAGAACCATTATATTTGGGGGGTTGGCACGCAATATAATGACATAGAAGAGCGAGAGAAACGGTAGTGGTCATTTCTAATTGGCTATTAGTAGGTAAGTTTGCTCATAAACGTGGTCCATGAGGTAAGGGCTTGATCACGAAAGTTACTCGGGCACATGCCATACAGCGTTAAGGGAATCTGCAGCGTTAAGTTAGGTTGCCATGTCAATTAAGAATCCAGACTTTGAGGGCCTGATTAGTGAGGCTTAGGTATACTTGCTATTAAAGGCTTGAGGTTAAGTGTGAAACACCGCCTTGAAATAGAACCCGAAGAGGGAGAATTGCGAATTAAATCACAGCCTTGGATCAACACTCCCTAAACAGTAGGAGAGATGAGGAAACCAGCGGGAATAGGGAATAGATTTCAAATAGGTCTGTATGAACAATTAAGAAACTGTGATATTGAAGGGGTGATACGAGGATATAGGAGAGGTGAATAGTTCTGTACAGGATAGATAGCACAACTGTTTAACACACCTTTGGCCAAAGGATCGACTTCACTTGTCTCTGACGCGTTGTTGTGAGGTGCTAAGAATGGCCAGGCTCACTGATGATGCCGAGTATGATTCCGGCGAAACGTCTGGGAATGCACAAAGTCCATGGCCTGACTGGAATTTATTATGCATATTATGGACTCCGGACAAGGCGCGTTCCTCTGTGTCTTCCTGTCAATATGACCAAGTTGCGGAAAAGAAGTCAAACTATTATACAAAGAAAGGAGACCGCGACCATACACACTATCCTGGTCGCCATACCAACCATTTAAAGCCAATATAACTCTTGACACCCAACTTTTATTCTTTTATAATTGTAATAGAGTAATTACAAATTTTACTAGGTCTCATTGCTGAATTATGGATACATCTTTTTATTATAGCAGTATTTCTAGGATTTTAAAATTTTTATAATAATTTGCCCATCTTACTTGACTTGTTACTATAAACATCATGCTTTTCCATTGCTTTATCTATTTTCTTTTCATGCTTATCCATTTTGCCTTCCAGGTTAAGCCACTTCCAATAATCTGGAATAATTATCCTCGGTGGGGTCCACACAACACAATCATGTTCGATGATGTAAGACGTAACTTTGTCATGAATCCTCAGAGTGGATTACGTGTGAGTGGATTTTATTACCCAATGTTCTACTTGAAAAGTGTTACTTATTTTGCATTTAACTCCTTTAGCTAACTAATATTTGCCGCAAACTTAGTCACACTTCCGAATATCGAATAGAGTTTCGGGACTACTAGCAAATCCTTTATATGAGATGTATTCACCCTATTTAGTTCAATGTGATGAAGGACTGAAAGTAGGATTTTTCCACAATGATATGAGTAGAGCTGTTATTTCTATTGAATTTCACATAGCCTTGCTTTCCCAAAAGTCTCAGGGCAGATACCAATTTCAAGGAAGGTCATTTCTATTCCAATATCACACTCTGGTGGGATAGTCGATGGAGCAAACGTATTTTTGCTATACAGTCGAGTACATTCTTGTATTTCGTATATAAATTGAGTTTCGAAACTATCAGTAAATCCGTTATGATAATAATTTCTAAACTCTATTTATATACTAAAAATAAATAATGTACTCTATTCAAGAAATGAAGACCAAAATGTTGTGGCCTATGGTATGGTCGCAGTCTCCTTTCGATTTATATAAATGGGTTGACCTCTGTCGCAACTTGGTCTTGTTGTCAGGGTGACTTAGTAGAACGCACCTAGTTCGAATTCGTCTGCCATAGTAGTTGTCATGATTCCCAGCATCAAATAGTGGACTTGGTACATTCTCAAACGCTACGCCGGCATCAAAGTCGGCATCATCAATGAGTTTTGCCATTCGTCGCACCAAGCTACGAACTTGTCTAAGCGACAAGTTAAGCCAATCCCTCAATAGCAAAGCATCAGCTTTTTTGATCACTCGGATTTAGAATCGGTATCTCCTATAGGCGTTAACATACACTGACACACACGACGGGGCGAAAGTGGTAGGACTAGTATGAAAGATAATTAGCCAACTCATCCTATATCTATCTATGCCTATTCATTTTCGTTTTTAGTTATGAGTATATTTAAGAGATAAGATAGGGCCGGATAATCTTCTTGACTTAATTTTAACGTGCGACTTTTATAAGAATGGATTCCAGCTCTGGTGATGTTCATCGTATGATGGACGAAAGCTCAGCCAGTTTTCACCCTAAATAAGGGAGTATGTCTCGTGGATTGCGTCAACCTTAACGTGGTATTAAAGCCAAGCGGCTATAGCTCAACGGAATTCAGTCGTCTTCTTGTGAGTTCGGTATATGAATC